GGCCTTATATATCTGGCCTACAGGTGTAATCATAGAGGGAATATCCTCTGATTGGCAGAATAACTAACTGATAACAAACYCTGGGAAATATCATGGAGGGAATATCTTCTGTCGACAGAATCACCCTCTCTGGTGTAACTAATTCTGAGGCTCTGTCGCCTGTCCCTGAGGCTCTGTCGCCTGTCATTTCTGCTTCCTTGAGTACTGCTGATGGGTAGTGGCCTGCTCTACTCACTGTGTTGGGTTAGGGGAAGGTATTTGGGTCCCAACAAAGCATAAGAAGACTAAACTACCCCTATTCGGCACACTTTAACAAGGATTAATTCTAATTCTCAATCAGTAATTCAGTATATATGTTAATTTTTCTTCTTGAAAAATAATTCTTAGAACTGTTACTCTAAATGGTGACTTTAAAGGCTATACTGGTCACATTAAGTGTTCTCTTGGTTTGGTTATCATTGTCTATTTAAATTTTATTCTCTTTCCTTTTTTTTTGGTACAAATTCTCTTTCTAACTCCATATGACTGTAAGTGTAGGGTTTCAGATCTTTTGTATGGACAGCAGTTTCTTATCAACTGAAAGACAGGCTTAAGTTGTCACCTTCAGCTTCCCAGCTTGTATTTTCAGTTGCATTTTTCCCATGGAGTATAAAACCATTTTATGGGTAAAGCTCTGTTCTATTGTCATCATTCATTTTTCTATTTGATCCTTTGTTAGCTGAAAATATTATTTTCTCGGTGTTGAGCCAAGAAACAGGTATCAAACATTGCACATATGGATATCAAAGCAACAAATCCATAAATACTGTCATATTTAATTAAAGGAAAAAAAGGAATTTTGAAAGCAAAGTATGACCATAAAAAGAAAAATCTTTATGGTATATCATTTGAAGAAAACAGAAAAAGTTAGGTGGTGAACATTGTCAGGTAGTGTTGTATCTCTTTTATTTACTAGTGTAGGTTTTATATATCTGTTTTTCTTTTGTGGTATGGTTTCTGAGATAAACTTTATCTATTTCTATTCATAAAAAATAGTCTTATTATCTTAATTCTGCCTGTCTTTTCTTCTATAATTTGTTGTACGTCTGACATAAAAGGACCGTTACCCAATGATGGTCCTGTGTCTTGGGTGGGGTAGACTGGATGCAAGTCTAAACATTGTCATTTATTTATTTTTCCTCAAAGTGGATGCTCTAAGACATAAATCCATGTTCTCATACTTGTCAGCCCAAGATTTTAACATTGCACCAAACAATGGCCCTCTGCTTGCACTTTTGACTTTTCAAAATAAATCTGCAGAAGTATTTTCTATATCCTGCCATGCTCCCACTTGTTTGCCTCCATGCATAAGTGCTTGCTAACGTTGGGAAATTGATTAATGAAGATTTTTGTCATAATAAGCATAACTATATATGGTATTCAATATATTATTGGCTCTCTCTCCACAAGTCTTTACTGTTATGTGTATGTGCAGAATACTGTCAGACTGTATCCCTATAAGAGGAAGGAAACGGATTCCATACTTGGTCATTGCAACCATCCTATCTCTCTTCCCATGGCTAGTTCTAGGGATGAAAACATCTCTGAGGAGTACAAGTGGACCACTCATGGTATTTTTAACAGCTCAAAACATAGGTTCAGCCATGGCAGATGTTGTGATTGATGCAATGATCGCTGAAGCAGTACGGTTTGAGAGGTATGCTCATTTTTTGTTACCCCCCCCCGCCCCCAAATTCTTTGTGTAGATGAGTTTGGAGGCATGTACAGCATTTGGACCTACCATTTGATGGTTCTTTATTGGATATCTCCTATACCAAATTGGAACAAGATGGAAGCTTGTAAAGTTTAATTTATTTCATTAATTTGTCTTCAAAGAAGATGGTGATTACAATGCCAGCCACCCAATGGTGTCTGCCACCCCTAGCATGTGTTCCATATATACATGTACAATGTTGATAGGTCATTTTTATGGTTTTCCAGGCAGTTATCTGACTTTATCATTCATGTGAGAAGGTTCTGACCTGGGATATTGTTATTGCACTTGATCAGGGCAGCCTTTGCTGGAGATCTCCAGTCAATATCATGGTTATCGATGGCCTTTGGAGGAATATGTGGGAGTTTGTTAGGAGGATATGCATTAATCAACTCACAGATACATACAATTTTTCTTCTTTTCTCTGTACTCCCATCCATACAACTATTATCGTGTACTTTGGTCAAGGAGGATTCTTCAGGGACCAAAATTTTGCCAGGGCTTGCTAACCCAGAAAGTTCTGAGAGGGTGGACAGAAATGGTAGCATTTTAGCAGATATCTCCACAGTCAAGAAATCCAATTTTGGCACTTCAAGGAGAAAGAAGGGCCGTAAAAGCAGCAATAAAAGGGCATTTGTCCAAAGTAGATCTAGCAGTCTAACAAAGGACAGCCCCTTGGTTTCACGGTGGTATCAGTCCCTGAAATCAGCTGTCTATAGTTTGCGCCGGGCATTTATGCAACCTGTCATTTTGAGGTAGTTTTAGAGAAATTCTATGTTGTCAAGTAGCTAGACCCTAAGGACAATTTACCAGTGGCACATCCATCCGTTTGGTTTGTTTTCTCGAATGCACTATTGAATTGGATCCATCACCCTATGTTTTCTCCTAATGTGCTTCACATTGGTAGAGTGTGCTTAGGGCCAGCAAGGCTGATACCTTTGATTCATCTCTCTCTCTCTCTCTCTCTCTCTCACACACACACACACACACAATTTTACCAAGAATTTCCCGTTTGTTTATCTTCATAATCATGGGTATTTTTTCTTAATGAATTGTGAATAAATTTTGGGAAGAACAGACCAATGGCTTGGTTTTTCTTAGCCCATGTTACCATTCCGAACCTCTCAACAGTAATGTTCTACTACCAGACTGAGTTCTTGCATATGGAGGCATCCTTTTTGGGGAGTGCACGTGTTGTTGGGTGGCTAGGACTCATGGTTGGAACCTTCACTTTCAATCGCTACTTGAGACACATGAAGTTAAGAAGAATTCTCATGTACGTAATTTTATTGATGGATAAATTTTGCTTTACACTTAGGCTATGTTTGGTTTGAAGGAAAAGGTAGGGAAAGGTAGGGAAACCTATACAAGGTTTGTAAAGGTTTCCCTACCTTTCCCTTCCTTTCCCTACCTTTTCCTTCAAACCAAACACAGCGTTAAGTAATTTGTAGTATAATTTCTGAAGCTAAGCTACTTTCTTGATTCACGAATGTTATGCAGGTTGGCCCATGTTCTTCTGGCTACCATAAGCCTTCTAGATATTGTTTTAGTATCTCGATCAAATCTTACATTTGGCATACCAGATAAGCTTATGGTGCTCGGTGGCTCTGCACTTTCTGACGCAATCAATCAACTCAAGTATGTGCACCATGTTTCATCTGTAATTTCCTTTTCTGTTAAAATCTTGCTTTGATTAATAGAATATGAATGCATCTAGACTTTTTGTATTAGAACATACTTATTGGTAAAATCATGCATTTGGGTGGGCGATACTCACCATATCAACTTGGGATGGTTTGGATGCGTACCTTCTTGTTTATTATTGGTATTGAATGATGTTCCTTATCATATTATTATGCAGGTTAATGCCATTTCTGATCCTTTCTGGACAGTTATGTCCACCAGGGATTGAGGGAACCTTGTTTGCCCTTTTCATGTCCATAAACAACCTTGGATCAACCTTGGGATCATTTCTGGGTGCCAGCGTGGCTTCAGTGCTGAACATATCGTCAGGCTCTTTTGACAACCTTCTGCTGGGGATCATTATCCAAGTAATCTGCATTTTCATCCCAATTGGCTTCTTATTTTTAATACCCAAGGAAGCCACAGGGATGTCAACTTAGCCGAGTTAGACATCTGTTTGAAACAAGATTGTGTTTTTCTTAATTTTTGGGGGGAGAGAGAGAGAGTTCAGTTTTGAGCTTCACAAGTTTTCCCCTTCAGCATCTTTGTCCTGAATTAATAGAAACTTCTTGTTTGTTTTCTGAATTATTGAGTATAGCTATAGCATCTTTTTTTCAAGTAAAGAAATTTGGCTGGTTTGGAAGCTTCCATGCTGTGATAATGCTTGTAACAATGCACTCGTGTTTTTGCTTCAATCCACTTCCTCCGTATGGTGTCAACTGTTCTGGGAATTTGGGATTCAAAAACGTAAATACCACGTAAACTAATTAAATAACTAACATCTAACGGCGTGTTCGACAATGCGTATGGTTTTATTTTCTAAAACAAAAACCAGCTGATGTAGCAATTGGCAAATACCCCTTAATTGTTCCTAACAGCAAACATATTGCAACTTGCATTCTGCAGGATCACTGGTTCAATTATAGTTTGACAACTGGCTTCACTGCAAAGCAGGAGATAGAATTAGCTGAATGCAATAGCTGTTTAGCAGGTTGTGAAACCAATAATATAACAAGAGACTAGATCTGCTCCTCACATAGGGTGCTTCACACGCACATCCTATCATGCATTCGTAACATCTCCCGTACCTTATTCATGGGAGATGTTCCCCATGCATGGTGGATGTGCATGTGAGGCGCCCAAGTGTGAGGAGCAAATCCTATTCCTAATAACACTCTACACCGAGATGGGATCTGCTCCTCACAAATAGGCGCCTCACATGCACATCCACCATGCATTGGGAACATCTCCCGTGAATATTAGTGTGCGTGTGAGGCGCCAGGTGAGGAGCAGATCCGGTCTCCACACCAGTTACAAAATACTTGAACCCACAACTATTGAATCTCTCGTTGTGAGCCCGGATGGTTGGATCGGTTGACCTGGAAATTGTCTGGGAAATTGGTTCTGTTTCACATTTAATCTGGTATTAACCGTTGATTTGGTCAACAATCAATTGACCAGGCAGTCGAACCATCAACCATTCAACCTGTTCAACGGATTTTGGCCCTTTTTTATTTTAATTATTTTTAATTTTTTAAGTTGGAAAGAATCGTCTATTCAAACAGGGTGGTTGAAACTGCTGACCCAAAAATTGGTGGCAGTACCTTCTCAATTTTTAAAACCTCGGTAGCATAAGCCGTTGTTCCACAAAATGTCATCAGTGAAGCTGGATGGCGATGACTGAGCACCTAACTATTTTTAAGTAACTGAGCTTAGCGTCCAACGTATGGTGGGGCGAAGGTACACGAAGGTGGGCCTTTTAATGGCTCGGACCATCAAAGCGGTCTTAAAGCTTCAAGAAACAGAAAATGAATCCTTACAATTGATAACCAAGTGATGGAGGCACTAGAGAGCTGAGGTACAGTCGTATAGATTCCTCTTCTCAATCATGTTTTGGTAATAGAGCTTCTAAGCGTTACAGAAGAACCTAAGGCAGTCTTTGGTTTGATAATTTTTTTGGCGGTAAAGCCGTTCTATTGGCGGTGAAGCGTGGAGCTTTGTTCTCTGGGAACATAATTGTTTTTCTAGGTGACTGTCTTCTCTTATCATTATCAATCCGAGAGAGAGAGAGAGACAGGTTAAAAGGTTTAGTTTTGGGAGTGTCATAGGAAGCAAGATGCTGTAATCTCCACTTTAAACAAGAGAAAATTGAGGTATGAGAAAACTGGTGCAAATTTTACATTAATTTTGGAAATGCAAAGTTTGCAGTTTGTACTGCTAATGAGTGCAAATGAGACAAAAAATAGAAATTTTGTATCAGATAGAAATATAAATCATAATTACAAACTAATGTAGGACAGGTTAAGGGTCCTACTAATTTAGGATCTGGTGGTGGGTGGTTAGAGAACAAGAATATGGATGAAAAGGCAAGTAAACTTCTTTCTGTTCACCAAAGAATAAATAATAATTAAAGGAAAAATTTCCAATTAATACCTTGTAGTCTTTCCAAATTGAGCCTAAACTATATCTTGATGTAGCCTCTTTCATTTTATGATTTATGATAAAAGGGAAAGATGGGAGATGATATCATTCATAGAATCTTTTCTTGGTAGTAAAGATAATATGTTACTGAACATAAAGAATCAGAGCGTGATAGGTCAATCCGAAGGGTGTAACTTGAAGTCCTCTGTGGCAAAAGAATTAATACACTTAACGGCCATAAAGCAAGTATATATGTCATATGAATTAGAGTGTTGGACGGAGAGAACATAACATGTCCCAAATATGAATGCAGCAAAGATGTAAAGTCGGGATAGATCAGCAGAAATCCAAAAAAGATGGGTCGAAAATGAAGATATTCAGAAGACCTATGAGTAGCTCTAGAAAAAAGACATTGGTTGAAATAATAATAATAATAATAATTAATAAAGTGGTATGATTTATGTAACCTACCCAAAATAATTGAGACAATGCTTAGTTAAGTGTAAATTTCTTGTACATAGACTTAAGAGAGTAGTACATGCGGCTAGACAAGCTAACTCCACCAGGAGTTATTTGGTGGTTATGAAATAGTGCCAATAGTTCCAAGGAATTTTGTTTGAATAAATGGTTCTTAGTACAGATTGTAAGAAGACTACAAGAGAGGAATCTTCTATGAAACATCTTTAAGTAAAATTAAGAAAAGTTGGGGCGCTAACCTTCTTTTTTTTTCAACTAGAGTAAATTTTGGATCCCAGAACCACTGGATTTTGGTCCCACCATTCTTCCATTGGGCCATTGTAGATGAAAACAAGTACCTCTTCAAGCAGCAAGGGGATTGATTTTGTTACATCCCACCAGACCGAACAGTCTGACCGGAAAACCCCATTAGGTAATTGATTTCATTTCACCCTAAAAATTATTGATTTGGTAAGCGATCCTCTGATTCAGACGGTGGAATCATTGATCCAAACAAAAGGTTTTTGGCCGTTTTTTATTATTTTTTTTTAAGTTAGAATTGGCCATCAATGAATGATTGCACCATTCGGCCCAAAAATCAGTCTCAGAATGATTCCCAATTCGGTCTGATTTAAAAACCTTGATATACTTGCCTCAGTCTCATGTTAAGAACCATTTTTTATAATGTTCACCTCTCTCTCACTCTCTGACTTGTTATTTGGGTTTGTTAGATATTATTATTATCTTTATTTTATACTTTGAAAACTCTACCATCCAAAAAAACGTTACTAACAATGCCAAGCAGCTTAGGGCCGGGGTATTATATTCTATGGCATCGAGAGCATAACATTCATAGTATTATGTAGGAAGAGATTTTCCCAATTCAAAAGGGTAATATATTGTGGATAGACATCTCGTGGGTAGAAAGTCCGGATTCCCCCTATACTTTGAGGCTATAAAATTCTGATATGGGCTGATTGATCATTCTCCCATATTTTATTGTTAGATCAAAATTGCATCAATATAATATCAACCCAACGATTCGAACAAAAAAGAAAGCATCCAATGTTTTGTATTTAAAACAAATGTTCTAGATGCTGGTTTCAAAGAATTTGTGCACCAACGGTTGCAGCAGTTGCGATCTCGGGTAGGGTTAACCTATGTCTGATGTGGCTGCGGCCACAGGATTCGATTGAGTTGCAATTGCTGACAAGCATTCCCTGTAGCGTCTAACAAGGATTTGGTCCAAACATCCTACACCTCGTTTTCTGGATAGGATTTTGGATCATTGATGAGGGCCTTCTCAATGGAAGAAGTGAGAGATAACGCTTTAAAAAAGAATGATCAGAAGAGATTTTACCAAATATTCAAGAAATTTTAAATCAATGGTTTTTAATTTCAACCATTTGAAGTTTTTTTTTTTTTGTTTTATTTTCATCGACAACAATATAATTAGAAATGTAGAGGAAGGAAACTACCACTCCCGCCTTATCCAACGGGTGCTCACCAGCTGGCTATTGCCCGGAAATTTGGAAATTAATTTGGACTGCCTTCATTTATTTTTCCCTTAAAGTTTTCTGACTATAAATTGAACTACTCAAATAAGAGAAAATCATATTTTCAAAAAAAAAAAAAAAGATAAATTGCTTAAACCTCTTCTGAACTTTTTTGACATAATTGAAAATAAACCCCCCTTAGAATCCTCCAATAAAAGGCATGACAATGTCTAAAATATTCATGCAATTATTATTGTCACGAATTTCTACAAAAAAAATAATACAGATTTTATGAACAAAAAATACAAGAATATAAATTGATACAAAGGATAAATTTGAAAAAGGTTTAGAATAAGATTGATATGAAAAAAAAATTTAGAAAATGAATATTTTAATAAAAAATAATCACATAAATATTTTTAAACATTTTTGTACCTCTTATTAGAGGATTCTAACATGGGGTCCCTTTTCTTAACCATGAATCAAACACTACCTTTATATCCCGCTAACCTTGACAGTTGGATCACTGATCCATTTAATGCAATTAGGTTACTAGGTTTTAGAATGTTTATTATCTCGATATTATAAATCCATTGACCTGAATACTTGAACCAATGACCCATTCACCTGCAGGGAAAGTGGTCCAGCCTTCAGCTGGCTGGGTTTTAAAACTTTAGACTATATGTAATATGTATTACAAAATGTACGTCGTATATATCAACATTCTAAATGTTGTATTTTTACTGAAGGGCTGTACATTCAAAACTAAATTCATGATGATTAACACCAAAGAAATTTCTATTTGATTTATTAATTGTATAATATTCTAATAGTTTTATTTAAATTATTAATAATATATAATGTCATTTTTTGAATATGAGCCGGACTGATTCCATTTGAAACCCTAGAAAAACTGTAGCTAGGTTCCAGGGTTTCAACTGCTTTGAATTAAGGAAAAGTGTATATCTATATTGCTCTTTTCCCTTTCCTTTTAGGTTTAAGAAAGCCTATTATTAAACATTTAGTCTCAGTTTGAAAAGAGTATAAATGCAAATATATAGAATGTAAATACATACAAAATAATGTAAAACATATATAAGGTTTTGCATTCTACATATTTGCATTTGTACTCCTTCCAAACTGAGCCTTAAGATTCCTCTTGAGAAGACTGAGCACTGAGCTGAAGATTTAACTGAAATGGTTCATTGGTTTGAAGCGTTTCAATAAGCTATTCAAAGAGGCCAAAATGGACAACCTTTCAAATAGATGGTTAGCAG